GCCCCAGTAGATAGTTGTATGTCATAGCTGCACATCCTTCTAGTTGCTGTATGTGGGACGCGGCCTCAGCATGGCCGGAGAAGCGGTGCGTCGGTGCACGCCCGGGATCCAAACCCGGGTCACCAGCAGCAGAGCTCACGCACTTAATCGCTAAGCCACGGGGCCGGCCCTGTGGTTTTCTTAGGAGTAAAATTGAACACCTTTTCATAAATTTAAATGTCCTTTGTATATCTTTCTGTAACTTCATATCATTTGACCTTTTTAGAAAAAACATTTTGTTGAGGTATAATTGACATACCGTAAACTGCATATATTTGATAAATTTTGACATGTCTGTACCTGTGCTGCCATCGCCACAGTCAAGATGGTAACCACATCCACAACCCAAAGTTTCCTTGTGCCGTTTGTTATCCCTCACCCCAGGCAGCTGCTGATAAGCTCTCTCTCACTGTAAATAGTTTGCATTTTCTAGAATTTTGTGTAAAAGCAGTTTGTTCTCCTTTGGCATCTTACTCAGCATCACTCTTCGGATTCAGCCATGTGTGTATCTGTAGTTCATTCTTCCTCACTGCTGAGTGTATCCCATCGTATGACTGAACCAGTTATTCACTAGTTCACCTGTTGATGGCAATTGAGATGTTTCCAGTTTGGGACAATTACAAATAGAGCTGCTGTGAGCATTCATGTACCAGGTCTGCTTTCATTTCTCTCTGGTAAAGACCAGGGTGGGGAAAGGCTGGCTGCATCGTGGGTCCATGCTTAACTTGTGAAGAAACTGCCCAACTGCCTTGCCAAGTGGCTGTACCATTTTGCATTTCTAGCAGCCTGGAGTCTTGGTTCCTTCCCATCCTCGCCAGCACGTGACAGTGTCAGTCTTTTTCATGTTCTCCTCCCAGCGAGGGGAGGAGGTGTCGCACTGTGATTCTCTATCTCTGAGGACTAACACTGCTGAATATCTTTGAGTGTGCTTATGTACTTTCCATATTTCTTTAGTGAAGTGTCTCTTTGGATCTTTGGCCCATTTTTTGATTGGGTCGTTTATTTACTTATTAGATTTTTGAGTGTTCATTATATATTCTCAATACAAGTTTTTTGTCAGAGATATGATTTGCAGATACCTTTGCCCAGTCTGTGACTTGTCCTCTCATTCCAGCAGTGTCTTTTGGAGGGCAGAAGTTTTCTTTGCCCTTTCTCTATTCAGTTTGTTGGACTTTTTCTTTCTTGATTTTTATGAGCTCTTTTCTGTGATGTAGTTGCATGTATTTCCTTCTTAGTTTGACATTTATCTTTCACTTTGTGTATAGAATGCAATGCAGAAGTGTTTCATGTGGTCACATTTCTCAACTTTTTCTTTTATTGCACCAAGATTCTGAGTCATAGTTAAAAAGAATTTCCCTACACTCAGGTTAAAGACATTTATGTATTTTCTTCTAGAACTTGTATGGCTTGTTTTTTACGTTTAGATCCCCCATCAGCCTGGGATTATTTGGGAGCAGAGGGTGCAGCATGGATCCAAATTTAATTAAATATTTTTCTTTAAAGCTCCCCAGGGCCGGCCCCGTGGCTTAGCGGTTAAGTGCGTGTGCCCCGCTACTGGCGGCCCAGGTTCAGATCCCGGGCACGCACCGACGCACCGCTTCTCCGGCCATGCTGAGGCCGCATCCCACATACAGCAACCAGAAGGATGTGCAACTATGACATACAACTATCTACTGGGGCTTTGGGGGAAAAAAAAGGAGGAGGATTGGCAGTGGATGTTAGCTCAGAGCCAGTCTTCCTCAGCAAAAAGAGGAGGATTAGCATGGATGTTAGCTCAGGGCTGATCTTCCTCAAAAAAAAAAGAAAAAGCTGCCCAGTTGTCCCGACACCATTCATTGATAAGATCTTCTTTTTTGCAGTGGTTTGATAAACCACCTTCATCAGTTACTGTGTTTCTGGCTTTTCTCTTGGCCTATCAGTCTGTTCATGGACCATTACCACACTATTTTAACTGTAGAAGTTTCAAGCACCTTGTACTATCTGGTGGGGCTGGAACCCCCACTGATCATGTTCAGAGTTCTCCCAGATGTTCTTGTGCACTTATTTTTCTGTATGAACTTTAGAATCATCTTGTCCAGATCCAGAAAAAAAATGATGCTTTTATCGAGATACTTTTATACATTAACACATTAGGAGAGAACTGACATCTTCGTGAGGTTGAGTTGTACTCTCCAAGAACAAGGGCTGTCTTTCCTTTGGTCCGAGTATATTTTGTGTCTTTGGGCAGGTTTTCAGTTTCCCACACCAGTCGCAGCACCCAGCTGTGGCTGTAAGTCAAGGTGGCCGTTGGACTCTGAGGCACAGAGAGTCCTCATCACTGCCACACTCACGCAGCCTCCCTGCAGGATGTGAGGCAGGGGTTGCTGCGGGTGACGTGCCTTCTATCTCATATGAGACATGAGGAGCTTGAGAGGAACCACAGAGTCACAGTGAGCACACAGAAGCCCAGAGCAGCCAGTGACGTAACTAGAAGGGGATGAGGTGAAGCTCCGCTCAGATCTCCTGGCTGCAGTGTTGGGGCTTATATCCCAGCCTATTCCCTGGTGGTCCCCACATACCTTGTTCCTCCTCCTCCCTTCCCAAAAAAGCAATTAGGCCTCTGACATTCTGGCTCCTTTGTTAAATTACTAATACTCCTCAAACTTGCTGTCTCATTGCGAAGCTGCAGCATCAACCATAGCTGATGGAAAGAGGTCAGATTATTCACGCCTTTGTCCTGCCCCTAACTTCGTTGGGTCCATTTGGACAGTTTCAGTGAATAAGATTGTTCAGAGAACCTTCTGGTTAACCAGTCTATTTCATCTTTATTCCAGGTTTCTACATGACCAAAATAGTTCAGCTTTCAAATTCTATCGAAAGAAAGTATTTGAACTCTGCCCATCGATTTGTTTTACATCCTCTCCGCTGAACCTCTATGCTGGTGGGAGTGCCCTAGAGCCCATGGAAGGGGAAGGAGAGTTTGACGATGAGGCCCCTCAGCACGAGGCTGAGCTGGAGGGCCCAGAGGCGATGCCTGAGGAAGACGAGGACGACGACGAGGATGAGGAGGAGGACGACGACGAGGAGGGAGGTGAGGAGGCCCTTGCTTCCAGAGGGGCCTCCAGGCCAGCAGGAGGGGCTGCCAAGTCTGAGGGTTCCGAAGGCAGCCCCAGTGCCGATGGCATCCTGAGCGAGGTGGCTGAGGATGGCCCAGCAGGCACGCCTGCCCTGTCACAGGCCTCCTCAGGAGCCTGCTTCCCCCGGAAGAGGGTCAGCAGCAAGTCGTTGAAGGTTGGCATGATTCCAGCTCCCAAGAGGCTGTGTCTCATCCAGGAGCCCAAAGGTGAGTGTCCAGTTGTCAGCACAGCGTCCTCAGCACTGGCTTCCATTTAGCACCTGAGGAGGAATCGCAGTGCTCAGTTGTGGGCCACGAAAGGTAGTGGAGATGGGTGGAGACATTGCTTGACTGTTTTGAAGAATTTACTGGCCCCAGCCCAAGGTCAGCCAAAAAATGACCAGCTGGCCCCCTGTCACCCTTCCTGCCTCCGATTACACATGCCAGCCTGAATAATACCTCCCCCAATCCCACTAGGGCCCCATGGCAGAGAATCTAAGTCTGTGCATGCCCCGCAGTGGCCAGCACAACATGAGTTTCTTTGGTCTTGTGTCTTTAAACTACAATAGTCCTAGTGGTTTTGCATACCACTCCAGAATGTTCATATGAAGCTCACGTTTCTAGTTGGTCTAAAGTTGGTGCTCTAAGGAGATACTGCTTTGTCAGTCTGTGGCTTCTAGCACCCCACATGCTGCTCAGTGTTTCCACTATCGTTCAGATTCCAGTGGGGGAGCCCTGGCCGTAGACGGGACAAGGGGTCATCTCTGCTGTTTCCTGCCCATGACCTTGGGGGTGCCCATCCTCTGAGCCCCCAGAAGGCCCAGGGTAGTGATACCTGCTTAGAGACAATGAGGCAGGAGGACACAGGATGGGGCCAGTCTCAGGCAGCAGTCAGTGGGAGCTACGCACTCTGTGCTCTGCCTGCCTTGGCCATAGGAGGCCATCTCCTGCTCTCTTGTGGGGAGGATCAAGGTTCTTGAGGTACAATTTACCAACAATAAAATGCACCCTTTTCAAGTGGACAGTTAGAGGAGTTTTGGCAAATGTGTACAGGCATGAATCCCCCAGTACAGCAGAGCTGGAGTCCATCCGCAGAAATGTCTCTGTGTCCCTCTGCGGTCCCCTTCCCCTCCTGGCCCCGGCAACCACTGACTGTTTTCTGGCCTTGTGGTTCTACCTTTTCTAGACTGTCAGTAAGTGGAATTGTATCGTGTGGGGCCTTTTTATGGGCTGGCCACGGCCGAGGTTATTCCTCGTGCCCCCCACCCACCCAAATGTCTCCACACGGCCAGGTGTGGGCCATGCTTTGCAAGTGGGGCCATTGCTGCAATACCTGCATGTGAGGTAGTTGAGGTGAACAGTGAGTGCCCTGTCATGTGTCACCTGTGCGTTCTACATTATTGAGACCATCACATTCACACCCAACAGTGTCAGTTCAGTTTCTCCCCCTAATGGAACAGTCTTCATGGTTCGTGTTCAGAACCCTTAGTGTTCCAATGAATTGCTAATTGTTCTGCCAAACTCTTACGTTCTTTGGAACTTACCACAGATGGTGGTAGCATATCAGAATGCTTGTTGAGGAGGAGGGCAAAAGGGGTAAAGGGACACATGTGTATAGGGATGGATGGAAACCAGACTTTTGGTGGTGAACACAGTGCAGTCTATACAGAAGCTGAAATATAATGATGTAAACTTAAAAAAAAAAGGATGCTTGTTAAGTGTGTTCTTCGTGAGAGAAAAGTGGAGTTCTTTCTAAGTTGGAAGCCTTCAGTTCTTTGATCGGGTGGTTGATGAGACAAAACCAGACCTTCCAATCTCCTCTTCATCAAAAATAATAATAATAATGTGATTCAGTGCTCAGTGTGAGAAGCGTGGTTGTTTTTACTGGAGAATTCTGTGTGGACTTTAATTCTTTGTCAGTGGAGTAGTCGCAGAGACACTAGGAGGGCATGGCGTTGCAAACAGGTTATTCGTTGAAGCCAAGTGTGTTCCTGTGGTCACAGTGAAGGGTCCGTGCATCAGTTGTTCGTCATAAACATGGGGAGTGTAAGTTTAAGCAGACCCCCCACAGCGGGGCAGCCTTCCATGGAGCCCGCGCACTGGGCCTCTGCACCCCATGGTCACGCGGTCGTGAGAGGGACCGGGCCACAGCCACCTCCTGCCGGCAAGGTAGTGTGTATATGTGTATTTTCACGTTTCTTTTGTCTTCCAGTTCACGAACCAGTTCGCATCGCCTACGACAGGCCTCGGGGTCGTCCTGTGTCCAAAAACAAGGTGAGCGTGACCATTTGTGAGTCCAAACTGAGACATAGTTGGTTGGAATTTGTCTGAGTTTCAGGGACAAGGTGGCTGTGCTGAAGCTACACTTGTACTTCAGACTGAGTGTTAATGTACAAAGCACAACAAACAGACTTTTCCCTGGGGGACTTCTTAAAACTGTTAGAAGGTGGTAACAAGTCCATTTAACGGATAGGTAAGGCCTGATATGTGCACTGGATGGGAGATGACCGAGACCATTGAGAAGTTTGGATTTAGTGGACTGTGATCATGGTTAAAAAGAGTGCGCTCATTTGCTTGTAAGCCGAGCATGTGTGTGTCATTAGCCTGTCTGCACCTGCTCTGTTCCAGGCCCCATCTGCCCGCCCTGAGGCAGTAGCGAGCAGGGCCAACAGTGACAGAGAAATGTGCAAACTCGGTCATGGGGTTGCTGTGGGTTCAGAGAAGCAGGTCGATGGGAGACCGGGAATAAGGTGAGCTCAGGGGGTCCATTTAATCAGGGAGGCCAGGGAAAGTCTCCCTGACAGGTGACATTTGTATGGAGATCTGGGAAGGACCTGGGAAAGGCCCCAGGGGGCTCACGGGTCAGCAGGGAGCCCTTTGTGCCCTAGTGGAGTGATGAGGGTGGGAGGTGAGAAGTAAAGGCTGTGAGGTCCCAGGTCACATGGTGCCTGGAGATGGATGCCTTTCTCTGGGGGAGGCCCTCGGGGACCTATGGTGGGGTTTGGGTAGAAGATGTGGCCACCATGGTTGCTGTGTTGAGACCAGCCCGTGTGGTGAGGGGCCAGGAGGGGTGAATGTGGAGTTGGTGAGACTCAAGCATGGATTGGGTATGGAACAGCCAACGCCAAGAGTCCAGGGCAACTCCTGAGTTGTCGGCCTGGGCAGTTAGGAGGATGGAGCTGCCATGGCTGAAATGAGGAGCAGGTCATTGGAAAGAGATAGAGGTGAATTCCAAGTGGCTGGGCAGACGTGTGGGGGCAGGTGAGGCCAGGGAAAGTCACCTGGGACACGTGGAGTCATCGCAGGTCCCTAGAGGTCAGGGAGGTGAGTGGGGAGCCGGGGAGGTCTCTGTAGGTGTCTGGCGGTGAGGAAACCCCGTTCAGCAGCACCACGATAGGTCAGATCTGTTCCAAGTGCACCGCATCAGTCTCAACAGCCAGGTGAAGCGTTAGTGTGATCCCAGTTACAGCAGGGAGGAGGGACCTTTGTGCACCCAGAGTTTGTGGTCCTAACTGGTACGCCAGCACCCAGGTGCCCATCTGGTGGCCTGGGTGAGGGTGTAGTCTGGTGAGGAGGCAGCCAGGTTCAGGCTCCGCCTGGTCACCTAGTCTTGGCATGTAACTCCTGCTCCTCCGTTTGTACATCTGTGAGGTGGGGCAGTTGCACCCACCCTGCAGGTAGAATACCTTGAGGAGTAAACAAAATGCATGTTAACTCAGTGCACAGCGGGTGTCCTGCACACTCAAGTCCTGCCTTGTGGCAACGGCAAGCAGGGCCAAGGGTGCACACTTCAGCACAGCGCACAGCTCCAGGAAACTGGACAGGGTGATTCTTAGACACAAATTGAACACTTACAAGGATCTGTCCAGCCAAGCTGACCCCTGCCGTTGCTCCCACCTGAGCAGCTTTCCTGAAAGGGGTGCAGGCCTGCCATTTGGGGACATGGCCAGCCTTTGCCCTGCCTTTCCCACCCTCTGTCTGTCTTCGCTGTTCTTCTCTGGGCCTGAGAGGGCATGACAGATGCCCCTGTGGTCATCTCAGTGGGCAAGTTCCACCTCCTCTGTTCTCCAGGTCACCTCCTGATGGTGAGGGGCCCCAAGGGTCAGCAGCTTCTGCACGTCATTCCCCCAGCCTTCAGCCTGTACACATCTCTCTTGCAGTGCTGTTTGTCTCCTCTTCCTACCCCAGCCAGCAGCATAGCTCCTCCCTCCCTAAGTCCCTCTAAATGCCCTTCAGACTGACTTTGGCCCACACTGTCCTGCTAAGACCCCTGGTACCCTCGCCTCCCAGCACCCTTGGCTCCGTTGAGTAGCTCGTGCACACATGCTGCGTTGTGCCTTCAGGCACACCCCACTTCATGTCGCTGAACTCTCAGTGCCTCTCCAGGTGGTTTGTCTCCTTCTAGGGTAAAAACCAGGGAGGTGACCATGGCTTACTCCTGAGTGTCTGGGGAGTTAGGGAGGCTTTAGGGGGTGTCAGCGCTGGACCATGTCCAGGCACAGCCTGGGGCAGGCCCTCATTCCAGGCACTTTGCTGCAGCCCATGTGCCACACTCTTCTCTTTCCTCAGAAACCCAAGGACTTAGACTTCGCCCAGCAGAAGCTGACTGACAAGAACCTGGGGTTCCAGATGCTGCAGAAGATGGGCTGGAAGGAGGGCCACGGCCTGGGCTCCTGTGGGAAGGGCATCAGGGAGCCCGTCAGCGTGTATGCGGCAGGGCTCAGGGCCGGGGTGGGGCATGGGCATCGGGCCTGGGGAGATGAGGCTTTCTTTGGGATTCAAGTCCTAAGTCCTTTGACCTGCAGCCTGATTCTTGGTTCCCCTCATGTTGACCGTGGCTTAAAGCTGGCAGTATTTTGGGCTGGCCCCGTGGCTTAGTGGTTAAATGTGCGCGCTCTGCTACTGGCGGCCCGGGTTCGGATCCCAGGCGCGCACCGACGCACCGCTTCTCCAGCCATACTGAGGCCACGTCCCACATACAGCAACTAGAGGGATGTGCAGCTGTGACGTACAACTATCTACTGGGGTTTTGGGGCAAAAAAAAAGGAGGAGGATTGGCAATATATGTTAGCTCAGAGCCGGTCTTCCTCAACAAAAAGGATTAGCATGGATATTAGCTCAGGGCTGATCTTCCTCGCAAAAAAAAAAAAAAAAGCTGGCAGTATTTTAACAAAGGGAGTCTTCAGATGAGATGAGAAGCAGATTAATAGTCTGTGCTTCCATAGATATTTAAATGGCTTCTTGGCCCCTGGCATTCCATCCACATTTACTATTGTAATAAAAGCTGAGTGCTGATTCTGGGTAGTCATACCAACAGCCACTTTCCCTTTTCCATGAACCCATCTCAGGCTAGAACACGGCCCAAGGTTTGTTAAGCCCTGTTAACATCTAGCAGGCATTTCATTTAAAACTGAGCTTAGCATCTGCTAGGGGAGGCTTTCTGCTGTAATCACGGGCTTCTGAGCACGCTCCTCAGAAGGTCCTCACGCCTGCACAGGTGAGTACCCCTTGTTCCCCACTGTGGATTGCATTTTTCTTTCCCTTCCCTGTCTCTGTTGTGTGTCCCGCGTACCTCCGTCCCACTCTGACTGCTCGTGCCATTGCCAGCCTCCTGGTGGCCAGGCTCTGGGGCTCAGGTGTGGCTAACTCTCCATTTTGCTCCTTAGGGGAACTGCCTCGGAAGGGGAGGGGTTGGGTGCCGACGGGCAGGAGCACAAAGAAGACACGTTTGACGTGTTCCGTCAGAGGATGATGCAGATGTACAGACACAAGCGGGCCAACAAATAGGTATGTGCGTGAGCTGGTGCATGGGGCATTCTGCCTAAGCTGAGGTTCTGGTACGCAGAGACCTTTCCTCCAGAAAAATCAGTATTCCCCACTTCCCAAACACCAAGCATCAAAATACCACCACACACACACAAAAAGTCTGTGAGGGAAACACAGGGGTCTTTGGTTGCAGATGTGTCCCACCTCTCACCTTGCAGGCTTAGCCGAAGGAGTGGGCCCCACACTGCCAAGCAGAACTGCATGCGGCCCACCAGTGGGGCCTGGGTGCAGGGCTGCCCATGGACTGCACACGGCCGCCTCTTGCCAGCTCACCTGGAAACAGGCCGCCACAGAGTGGCCTTGCATCCCAAAGGTGTAGGGGCAAGCTGGCAGCCGGCGCTGCAGAGGACTGGCCACTTTTCGACGCACGTCCCTTTCCGAGGGTCTTAACGCCCTTTTCCTTCTGTAGGGCTGTGAGCCTATAAATATCCTCCTCCTTCTCTTTTTTTCAGTTGCCCTCCCCCCCATAATTTCCAACTCCGTTTTGAACAAAATTGTTCTCTCCCTGAATAGATCAGAACCATGGGTGAGAAAGATAAGGCTTGAAGCAGCAATTACTCTTAAAACGCCACCTCTGCCCCGGATCTGCCCTGGAGCCAGTGCCCAAGTAGGTTTGGTGTGTACACAAAAAACAAATGTCTCTCCAGTTTCTGGGGCGGAGGTTCCACTGGCTTTTCTTAAAGAAAACAAGAATGCACCATTTCCAATCTCCTTTTGCCTTTCCCCGCTCTTCTGAATGCTTTAAGCCGCAAGTCCCCCCCAGATCTTTCCTGGTTTCCCTCAGAAGGTGGTGATGCCGGTCTTCCCATCCCAGGGCACGTTGCTCTCCAGAAGTGCTCTAAACTTGAAGCGAAATGATTACACATTGTGTCTTCTTGTTTCCAGAATTTAAATAGGGGGTATAAATTGGTAATAGTGGAGTCTGTGCTCTGGTACCACAGCCTGTTGGTCAGAACACTGAAGCTCTTTGAACAGGTGGAGATACTTGATTGGATGACCATGTTATTCCTGGAGTCTCAGCTCTTAAATGCATCCCAAGAGACCTAACGAACTTTAGCAACAGTATAACATAGCTGTGTTTAGTGGGGAGTAATCATCACACTGATGAGACTTTCCCCAGATTGACATGTCTCTTTAGAATCCACAAAGAAAGCAAACTACAGTTTGATTTTTTTTAAACCACATGTGGAGTCTCTCCTACAAAGGGGTGGGGGAGGGTATAAACTCTTCAAGAGTCTTTCTGTTTTGCATGTGTGGCAGTGTAAAGAATTGTTTTATTAGGGCCTTTGTACAGAACAGCAAGGATCCTCTTGGGGTGGGCTCGGCAGCTGTTTGCTATTTCAAGGCATATGATTGCTGCCCCTTCCAGCTTCTCCCAGTGCTCTGCTTCTTGCAGCTACATGTGAAATTCTCAGGCTGTGGGAATCTCAACCCTTCCTCATAAAGCAACAGTGTTGATGTTTTAAATATGTATTAAAATCTGGAAAACTTGGGATCCTGCTGACACTACAAGCTTGGGGGACATGGCAATGAGTTACCATGTCAGCCTCTTTTATTGGCTTTAAATCCTTGCTTTCTCATAGCCACAGCTCTCCTGGGCTGTAGTCCCAAGCCCCTCTGGTTCTGTCTTGTCTGTCTGGTCTGCAGTCATGGCACAGCGTCACAGGCCTGTGCCGGCATCTCACGTGCCCGCCCTGTGGCGCCTTTCTTCTTGTCAGGTGTAGCCCCCAGGGCTCTGCTTCTGGTTGCTTCTGTTGCTTTGGCAACTGGCAGGTTTTTATGGCCGTGGATATGCTGGAGGTGCCTCAGCAGAGTTGAACCAGCCTGCAGGGGCATGTAGTTTGGGGGAACCACAGCTACGGAGGTTCATCTTCTGCTCCTTTCTTTGCTAATTCTTCCAACAGCCTTCCATGCTGGCCAAGGGTTGAGCGGATGGATAGAACTCTGAGAACAGGGCCTCAGTCCGCCGTGGCCTTTCTCAGAGTGCCAGCTGGCCCTGAGGGAGGCGCACACCCCCAGCATGGGTCCTAGCTTTCTCTCGAGCCTAGATAGCTCTGCCCGTCATATTCGCTTTGTCCTAGTATGTTCGTTCTGGGCTTTCTCCACTTTTATTTATAAGTAAAATGCTTTAGGAATTCCCAGGGTGTGAGCCCTGTCCGTGCAGCCTCCTGCCACTTCTCCTCCTGGGGACGTCGCACTTTGAGCTGACAGTGATTGTGAGCTTTTGGCAAACATCAAAGGGAACACCTACTTCTTGAGCCTTGGAAGTCCTCTGAGCACTCAGGTGACGCTTTTCCTGTGGAGTTGATGTTGAGGCAGTGAAGGCATTGCAGGAGCCAGGCAGAGCGTGGTGGTGTGTCCCTGTGCCAGCTGTTGGCTGGGGACCAGTGTGCTGACGCTCTGTGCCTGCCCTTGCTCTCTCTGGCCTAGGCCGCTCTGCAGGGAGCATGTGTGCGAGCACGATGTGCGTTTGCGTGGCCTTGTCAAAGTCACAGTGTCTTTTCTGTCATTCTAGTTCCAGGGTCTCTTCCGTGAGGACAACAGGCATCCGGAAAGTGCTAACTCGCCACTTTGGGTGCTTACTGTCTCTGGCTTGTTTCCATCACTGGAAATCATATAGAGAATTTTAGCATTTTTGGTCCTTGGTAAAACCTAGAAGACATTTGTGATGTTACAAAATGGAAGTTTTTGGGTTTTTTTTTTTTTTTAATCTAAGAAGTTGTGAATGTTGTTAATCATTTAGCAATTGCAATAAACATAGAGGAAACCCAATTTTCCATGGTCTCCATTGGTATGTTTTTAAAATCAGACCTGTCGGGGAACACACGGTAGATGTAGCCTATGTGGAACCACATCAGAAACATTGCTGCCTCCTGGGCATGCCCTCTTCTGCCAGGGCCTCTGCCTGGTTCACCCCAGCAGGGGGCCTGGTGAGTCACCGGCAAAGACCCAGGGGTGCCAGAGAGCAGGTCGTGATCAGGGCCAACCACAATGGGGGCGCTGCACCCTGTTCTCTGGGGAGGGGCCTTTACTGCTAGGTACAGAAACCCACCTTTGTTGGGACGTGGGAGCCGTGCCCTAGCTGCCCACGACTCGCTTGTCCCCCTCAAGGCCTTGCCTGCTCTGGGGTTCCAGCTACCAGAGTTAGACCAAGGCCCACGTGGGCCTACCCCTGACTGAGGAGCCAGCCTACGGGGCATCTTCTGAGCTCCCTGCTGTTCCCATGTGCAGCCCGGCCTGTGTCTGATTCCTCCACCAGCAGCTCCTGGTCCTTCGGGTGAGGAGTGAGGGCAAAGGGCACAGCAGGTGGGTGAGCGTGGCACCTGGGGCCCTGAGGGGCCTCCACCTGGGTGCGGCGGGTCAGGCAGGAGTCAGGCAGTGGTTGTGCCCATTGTGCCTCATAGCAGGGAGCCTGGGAAGGGTTTGGGGGGGGGGGGTCTGTCGGCAGGTTAGAGGGGGACAGACGAGACAGGGTCCCCAGGAAGCTGATGTGGGACTCCTGAGCCTCCCTTTTCCCCACTGTGTCCCAGAGGACACTCAGGAGTGACAGTGACCCGTTTGACCATGATGGGAGCTATCATCAGCCAAGAACTTGCCACACTTTTGCCTTCATCTTCGTGAGAGCCTGGGTGGTGGGTGTCTGACTGCTGGCATTAGTGCTACTCCCTGAGAAAATCACCCGGAACCTGCCAGACCCCACCGTGTCTCCCACCCTCTCTTGGGAGACTGGAGGTGGGGTGAGCAGCAATGGGCATTGCTCCCCAGCAGCTGCCCACCCCAGCTCCTCTTACTACTGCCCGGGGCTGGTGAAGGTCGCTTAGAGGAGGACACACAGTGGGGCTCTCCAGCCTGGGATACCCGTCCAGGCTGTGACCTCAGGCAGGTCACTCCATAGGCCTCGGTTTCTCCTCTGCAATCTGGGAAGTATTTTTTCCAGTTTGGAAGGTAAAATTGCCTCCACTACCTTGTCGTTTAGGGCTAACTGGAAACTAAATATGTCACTCAGCCTGGAGGGCCCGTCCCCTCCCTTCCTCCTCCCCACCCTCCCCGCTCCTGGACACCCCAGGGCCCAGCGAGAGGCAGAGGGCACTGCCGGGGAAGCCGGAAGCCGCAGTCACATTGAGAGTAAGGCGGGGTTTTAAAGCAGGCCTTTGGTGTGCAAGCATGCACAAGTGCGTGTCATATGTGCAAAACACACAAGTGCGCACATTCAAGCAATGCGAGTACATTTTCTTTGTAAAAGATGAAGACAAACCCCAGACATATGCAGAAGGAAGCAGAGGTGTCCCCTGTTTCCCAGTCCCACGTATAAGTAAAATGTAAACTATATAAAATTGAATACAATTTTTTCGAAATAACAAGACGCACCATGCGTTCTGCCTGGAGACTCAACTCACTTCCTCACACGACTGGAGGTCTCAGCAATCCTTCCACGTGAGGAGGATGTTCAAGTACTGTTTGTAAGTAACACCTGGCCCAAATCAAAAGGTACAGAAGTGTGTTCTGTGGAAAAAGAAGTGTCCCCAACCCACAGTACCGGGGTCTCGGATCCCTTACGTGTAGACAGTTGTCGATACGGGCCTATTTTAGATATAACCCTTAAAAATGCAAGTTACATTTCGCTGCACATTTTATTCTGCCTGTTGCTTTTTCTCGCCCAAACATTTTCCTCCCCAAATTTAAGTGTATCTATACGTGACAGGCTGTCATTTGTCATTCAAGCTCCTCACCCGTAGCCGCTGGGGTTGTTCCCAAGCTTTGGCCTCTACATCCTAGAACACTCTCTTTGTGGATAAAGCCCTAGAAATGGCATTTCTGGGGTCAAGGGGTCCTCCCCGGGGTCTCCCCACCTCATTACCTCCCTCCACAGTGTTTCTGTGCCATCCGATTTTGGGGGCCACCCTGTCAGCACCCCTGTTTCCTCATCCATTGCTGCCTCAAGACGTGACGGGGCTGTGAACCCCTGGAAGCCACCACAAACTGTAGCCCGTGGCCCCTGACCCCTCCGCTCTACATTCCTGCGCTCTACTCGGCACGGGCCCAGCTGCCACCCCTTTCTGCTTCCCCCCACAGTCCCCCCACTCTGAGCCTGTCATCCCTGCCCTGACCCCTAAACCTGGACCATCCTGAGCGGCCGGGTTCCCAGAGGGGGCTTGGGCAGGGGTCCGTGCCCCTCCAGGCCTTGATTCCCCCTCCATCCAGTGACGGCCACATGCCCACCCACGGCGGACCAAGGGGCCAGAGAGGGGCCCTCCCCGAGGCGGTAGGGCAGTGAGACTCTTTAAGCCTCGGTTTCCTCCGGTGAAATGGGGTGGTGGGTTTGCAGGGTTAAATACGGTAACCCAGGACCCCTCTTAGAGGGTCTAGAGGGATTGGTCTTGTTATTGATCCTTCCATGTCCATCCCTCCTGGGCCTCAGTTTCCCCACTTGTGAAGTGGACTTTGTGCATGAGGATCCCCAAGCTCCTCCACAGCGCACCCCACCCTCCCCTCCCCCACCAGCCTGAGGGGGGGCCACACCCCCGAACTGTCCCCCTTCGACAGAGGAGGGGCGGAGGCCAAGGGTCCGGGCAGAAGAGGGGTTAATTATCCAACTCCCATGTGTTTGGGGCATTGGGGGACAGTTGAGGGGGAGGAGCTGGGGGGACTGTGCTGGGGCTGGAGCCAGACTCCTACCCAGCTACTACTCTGCCTGCTGTCCACCCCACTGTACAGATGGGGAAACTGAGGCCTAGAACTGGGAAGAGGCTGGTCCCAGGCTACACAATTTCTTCAAAGCCATCTTTCAAAGTCTCCCTGCCTGCTCAAGCCTGTTTCTGCATCTGGGTAGGGCTGGCACTGCATTGCAGCAGGCTGCAGCCTTTCCAGCTTGTCAGGACTTCCAATTGAGCGTAGGGATCAAGTATTGGTTCCTACTCCGGAATGTCAAATGTTGAGGAGGCTCCTAAGCTACCCTGCTGCCCATCAATGGGGATGACTCTCCACCTTGCCCCCAGACTCCACTATGCCTGTGGGACCTCCATTCAATCTTCAAGGCCCACGTCCCAGGTTCCCTCCTCCAGGCAGCCCTCCCTGCTCTCCCCAGAGGCCTGACTTCTCCTCTGGCTTCCCCAGGCCTGTCCCCGACCCCCCTGGGCTGGGGGCTCCTCCACCGGGGCCTGCATCTTATCTTAAACCCTCAGCAGTGACTGAATGTTTGATGAAAGGACAGTGGATGAGTGCACTCTGTACGAGGAAGTCTCTTCCTTACCAGTGGAACCTGCGTTGGAGTGGATGGGCAGACCCAGGCCGAGTCCCAGCTTGGGGGTGTGATGGTGGGTGGCCTTGTGCAAGCCCTGTGCCTCTGGGACTCCATCTGTTTCATCAGTCACATCAGATAATGAAGGATGAGCTAGAGAAGTCCACAATGTATGGTTAACTGAAAAGTCGGTTTTCCTCAGTATTTACATCACCATTTTAATATATGGTATTGGACTATATAGAATAGAAATACAAACTCAAATATATAAATGCATGGTCACAGACAAATTCTGGAAAACTCCACACCCATCTCAACAGGGGTTCCTTTGGGAAGTGGGCTGAGCTGTGGGAGGGATTGTCACTGTTGACCTCGTACATTTCTGTGTGGTTCAAAGTCTTGTATGATTTTAGAATGACAAAAATTAATCAAATGTCTGTGAAAACATGGATGATAAACTCAGCCTTGGGTTCACTTTGAGAGTCAAAGGAGATCACAGGGGTCGATGTCAGGCCCATAGCACAGACTATATACTGTGACAGATCTGACCATCATTGGTGTCTCTCCTCACTTCCAGCAGAAGCTGGCCTATTTCCCAGTGGAGAAACTGAGTCCCAGGACAGTCTAACTCCAGACCCACCCTCTAAACACCAGGATCTGCAGTAGGTCTCACCAGATTTCAAAGCTCCCCATATACACACATGTATGTGTTCACACCTGCAACTGCACAATGCTCGTGTGTGCACACACATGCATACGTGCACACCTGTGTGTGTGCACCCACACTCACGCACGCATGTAACAAAGATACATGTGTGCATGTGCAGGCTCAGAAACGTGCACACAGACACGAGCGCACACACAAAGACACATGCACACATACAGACACGCATGCACATGCACATGCACCCTTTCTATTTCCCACCAAGCCCAGGCTCGTGACCCTGAGAATGTCTCCCTCGCAGGAACTGCAGCTCTACAGTGAGTCTGGCACCAGCCGCTTCCCTCAGACCCCAGGAGGGGGACCTCACGAGCTGAGCTTTGCTTCACTTGCCTTTTCTCCAGAGATTCCCCGGGTTGGACTCGTGGGAGTGCCACCCATTTCCTGGAGTTCCTGGTCCAGGTGTGAGAAGTGAGGTTTCAGCTTCGAGATTTCAGCGTCCATGTCCTAATGACTTGTTTTTGCCCAGAGGCAGCTCAAGGCTCAACCTGAGGGTTTAAACCCTCAGTCCTAGCGTGTTCTCCCTGTGCTGTGTGACCTGGGGTGAGAGATCCACTTGTCTGAGCTCAGATTCCTCGATTATAAAACGGGAGAACAGTAGTATCTGCCAGCGGGGTTCTGAGAGTCAGCGCCAGCACACTGCAAAGCTTACGGATGTCAGCTGTACTCCGTCCATCGTTCTGTGTCACTGGGAGCCTGTCACGGAGGATTCCTATAGCCTGCTCCTCCTCCTAAAAGCAAGGTTTCCTGGGACGTGAGGGAAGGGCCACAATGGGGGGCCTTGGAAAATTCACTTCACCCCTTGAAGCCTCA